GTGAAGTCGGACACTGAGTGCACCGGAATGAATGCCGCTTTTGCATAGTTTGTGCTTGCTGTTTATTAATCATTTGAAACTAGCAAACTAGAAGCTCCAGTAGTAAGATTAAAGGATTTATCTTGAACTCTGTCACTGAAATTATGTATAAACCCTAATCAAACAATTTAATAATCAATTTACAATGAATTTATACCTCTGTTGTACATTATGCTGTACGCCATGGATGAGCGCTTTGTAAAAATGAACGGACTGATTATTCAGCTGCGGGCGCCATCTTCTGGCGAGATGCGAGAATTCATTCGGCGCGTGACTCTCACGGTGCATTATGGGCATTCTCCCCGCAGACCCAATCAACCATAATGACACGCCCCGTTTTTATAGTATCAAGTTACTAGCTAAAATCAAACTTATCACAAAAACAAACAATTGAACATGTATCAGCGTGATAACAACTACCTTAAATGACCAAATCCATCTTTCGTAAAATTTAATTGGAAGTGTAATTTATTTTTTTTATTTTGACTCAAGTCCCATTCGTTTACATGGAGAGGGAGGGGTTTATGACCTGTACTGCAGCCAGCCACCAGGGGGCGATCAAAGAGCCCGCAGCTTCACTTTTCAGGACGTGTGTCGTTTGGAGCCAGAGTCTGCGCAGTAGAGATTCGTTTGGAGCCATATTCTGCGCAGTAGAGATTATTTTCGAGCAAGAATCTGCGCAGTAGAGATTCGTTTGGAGCCAGAGTCTGCCCAGTAGAGATTCGTTTGGAGCCCGAGTCTGCGCAGTAGAGATTTTTTTCGAGCCATTCTCTAGCCATTGAGCGTGAACCAGTTGTACACTCGTTTTTGCAGTGCATTGTGGGATTGAATGAGTGCACTCGAGAACGTCCACTATGGTTTCGGACACCACTAAAAATGGCTGTTCCCTCAAATAGTGCCCTATTTAAGGGTATAGGGGGTGATTTCGGACACAGCCATTGACTCTGGGATGATGGAACCAGAAGTGCTAAAATGCTAACTCGCTTCCGGGTTTTTGCCTACAAAGTGACATCATAGTTCCACCACTCTATAGAGAATGGGAACATGACGTCAGCAACGCACGGCATTCTGGGACTTTGGGACATGGACCCTATAGTACAGACTGGGTAATAGTGGAGGTAGATGTTAAAATTTATATTGTACAGTTAAAAACATATTTGAATGGAAAACGCTTGCTGTGTTATAAACTGCCATATCTGCTCTCATGACTGGAGTGGAAAACAGATCTAAAATGAAGCACAATTTGATGCTTTTCAGCTTGAAACAACACAATGGCGAAAACAGCTCAATGAAAATAAACAACTTGACCAAAATCTGGCTTTGTCACTTGTATTTATGTTGAACAAATGTATCAACATAAGTATATATTGATATTCTATATCCCGCGATCCAGCAGAGGATAAGATGGAGAATGGATCAGTTTTTGTAGGGAAAGACTGCCTAGTTAAATGTTTAGCCATGTCACTACTGATTTTTGAACTAATCAGTCATGTAAACAAGCACTTATTGTGAATTTCACTGACATTGTAGTACAGTCGCTTTGTTAAAACATCTATATGGTTAATTATAGATATAGTAAGACAGAAACTCACCTGTTCCCCACTCATATTGGTCTGAAAAGGTAAACAGGTGTTTCGGGTCTCGAGAGACTAGCGTAAATTGACCGACAGCGCCGTCTGCTGTTTTTGGAAAAAAAAGTTGCATTTGTGAGAAAATCTGCCTTGACGCATTTGTGAGAAAATCAAGCCAAGTTTCCTCATAAAAAGTCAAATGAGTCTCACAGTTGTAACACACAATACACAGTATATTTGTCCATACCTCTGCATTTTCTCTCAAATAGAGTTTTGTATTTGCGAATCACTTTGCGTTTGTTTGAAAGTCGAGTTTTTCTTTGCAAAGCAAATTGTGTTTATTTGCAGAACGCTGGATGTGTTTGATGAATATTGGCACAAAATGCACTCCATAGAGGCGCATCTCAAACGAGCCTCTTGATTCACTTCCTCGCTCTGGCGTCATCATGTCGTTAGTTCCTTGTTATGAACTTCAGCACAGATCAGACCAGATCAGACCAGACCAGACTGCTGCTGCGTATCAGTCCAGCTCATGCACAAATTCTGTCCGCTCTTTTCCAGCGATTTCACTATAAATACCCGCGGTTCGCTCGCGATATTTGGTAAAGGCATTGCTGAATGTGTATGTTCGGTTTGTTGTAATGTGTAATAATGTGTTCTTGTGTATGTACTGTAGTGTGTATATGTTATAATATTCCCTCACTGTCTGAATGGTTTCTAGCACAGAATGGCAGTGGACTGGTGGGGCTTCGCCTATGCTGCAGCTCTTGCTCTGGGCGGCTTTATGGGCTATAAAAGAAAAGGTATTTCTTCACTGTGGTGTAAAAGGAACGTGTGCAGATGATAGAAAATTATATGTATTGATCAATTAAAAAAAAAAAACAATCTAATTTCTAATAGGTTTATAAATCTAAAATGTAAGTTTTTTGTCGACTTTTCATGGTTCTAATAGAGTTTTAAGCATGCACCTTTCACATTTGTATTGTATAGCTAACAAAAATTACTATGCTATTACTATATTTTAGAACATGCTACCATGGTAATATAATTGCAAAATCATAATTGATGTACTATGTCTGCAATCTATATTCATCCCATAACATCACTGTACTTTATTGTAAGGGATTGGTGGAGATATTTAATATAATTCCCGACTTCTGCAGGAAGTGTGGTGTCATTAATTGCCGGACTCTTCTTTGGAAGTGTGTCTGCATATGGAGCATTTAAAATAACAAATGATCCACACGATTACTGGACCTCTCTGAGTAAGTATAAAAATAAAATCACTAATGTCCACCCTTTAGAAATACAGCATATATCAGCTTCAAACTTACTTTTCCTTGACTCTAGTCGCCGCCGGTGTTCTGACTGTTGTGATGGGAATGAGGTTCAGGAAATCTGGGAAATTAATGCCTGCAGGAATCATGGCAGGACTGAGGTAAAACTGTAGCTTGGACAATCACAGTTGTAAAATATATAAATTCTTGTGTTAAAGGGGTCATATGATGCGATTTCAATTTTTCCTTTCTCTTTGGAGTGTTACAAGCTCTTGGTGCATAAAGAAGATCTGTAAAGTTGCAAAGACTAAAGTCTCAAATCCAAAGAGATATTCTTTATAAAGGCTTGTGTACTGCATCATCACTGTGTCTGTCACGCGACTCTGTTGCCCTTTCAGGCTTGAACTGATGGTAAAACTAACAACATTATTAAATGTCTTGATATTTACGTTGAAAGCTGAAGCTGCGATTATGGTAAGGGGTGTTACATTTCCGACGAGTGCTTGCGGTGTTCGGCCAATCACAATGCACTGGGTCAGCTGGCCAATCAGAGCAGACTGCGCTTGTCAAAGGAGGGGCTTTGTAGAAAACGACGTGTTTGAGAGAGGCGGGGCATAGAGGACCTACAATAATGTACAGTATTTGAAAAATAATGTGTTTTTTGAACATTAAAGCATGTCAACATATTCTGTTACACCAAATACACAAAATAATGATCGTTAAAATAGCATCATATGACCCCTTTAAGATTTATAAAGCTAACAGAGCGAAAGCGTTTTTCAGCCTTGATGGTATTCAATGTTTATGTATTTGCTCTGGGACTGTTTATTGGGGGCGATTTCTTTATCAAAATCAGAAGAACATAATTTCACCCAAATAGCCAAGCAGAGCCATGTCTGATGCAAGAAGTCAAATGCAGTAAAAGTCTAGTCAAAAATATTTCAGTCACGTTTTCATGAACACAAGGAGGGTTATATTAAATCATTTTTATTGATCTGCTCCAATAAAGCAGTTCATAGAAGGAAGCAGCAGTATTGTTACTAGAGCAAATACATGGTGATTCACATTGACAGGTGCAGATGTGATTATTCTGATGGTTTGTCTTCTGTTTTCAGCCTCCTCATGGTTTTGCGACTTTTGATCTTCTAAGAGCTCGTGGACGGACCACACTCTCGCAACATCTACTGGACAGTTGCAATGTTCATTTCACAGCATCATCACCAAATTGTATCTTGTGCATTCCAAATAAATCTGTCCATTTTAGAGTCTCAGCTTTAATCTTGTAACGATACGTTTGTAAATTAATTAGTGATTGACGTCATCTAATGGTTTTGAATTCACTGTTAATGCATTCAGATTAGTGTAAAACCTCGAGCCTTCTATTTGAAAAGGTGGCTCAACACCTCCTTCACGGTTTTCACATACGCTTCATCGGGTGGAGGTTTTCTTGCGCTGCCCAGCTGGAGGAACTTGCCGATTGTTGGCAAGGCCTTCATTTTCTCTTGAAACGCCTGCAAAACAAATGAAAGGTGATACAAGATTCAAAATCACAATGCTTGGAAAAAGAGCATTATTTTTTATCGGATAAATTACAGATGCAGGTAATACAACAGCAAAGCAAAGTGTACCGCTTTTTTTTTGGATCACAGGAATTATGGCTTTGAATCGTGGGCTGAACTCACTGCTTCACTAAACCAGACCACACTACTTACTCTCTATCACTGTATATCTGACAAGTTGTATTTATTGTAATCATCAAATACAGTCAGTGAAACTTGACATGACTCAGTTATTGCTGTTTTTTCATATGCCAATGTTTAAGGATGTTATTGTAATAAACTAACTACAAAATCATATGTTGAAAAAAAAAATGGTTTCGTTAAGGAATTTTGGGGTTGGGTGTCTGTGTGAGAAACTGTGAAGCACCTGGATTTTGGGAAAGCTTGCAAGTATTGTAGGGAGTAACTCCTGCAGCATCAGAGTGACTTCAAGAAGGTGAATGTCAGCACGGCTCAGCTGGTTTCCCACAAGGAACTGAGAGTTTGCAAGACCCTAAAGACACAAGCCATAGTTTCATGTATCCAATGTGGATAATCATGCCTCAAAATGGGAGCATGAATAGTGTTTCTTTTAAAGCGTCAACCGTGTACCTTTTCAAACACAGGAAGAATGCGATCTTTGGCCTTTTGCTCTATATTACTGAGGTGTTTCTGTTTGTTTTCAGGTGGTGTGAACGGATACATTATAACCAAATCCATGAGATCACCGATTCCCTCTGAATACATGTCGATCCTTCAGGACAAAAACACATGCATTCAGTTAGAATTGCTTAGGTGTGGTGGAAAAGCAAGGCCACTTGGAATCATAACACTTTTCATAAAAAGTTGACTTTTACATAGCCCGTTCTTTAAGGTCTTTTCCATATAGACTGTATTTTCCAGCGATGTAATTCAAGATAGCCTTTGACTGCACGAGCTGCATCCTGTCTATTTCAACCAAAGGCACCTGCTGAAACATCAGGGCTCCATCTACATTCAAAAATATGAATATTATTATTATACAGGACTATAAAACAATTCGAGATGAGGAATTTACTGAATATTTACCATTACCATTCAGCAGTTTTTCATACTCCTCCCGTTTGGTCAAAAACACTTCCTCAAACTGTAAAGACAACACAATACCACAATAAATCTAAACCCATTTACAGTGTTGGGCAGTAACGCATTACTGTAATTTGATTACTTTTTTAGTAACGGAGTAATTTAACGCGTTATAATTTTCAAAATAGTAATTAGAGTAGTTACAAGCCGAGGTCTCTATACGTTACTGCCGCGTTACATTGCCGACAGAATGCAGTGATTTATAATCTAGAGATTGTAAAAAGGATGTAGCACACACACTGTCGAGTCAAGAGCCAGTGGATTAGAGACCTGCTCCCGCGAGACCCTGGAGCAGAGACTGGAGCAGAAATTTTAGTGTTCACGAATCCTCTCATTATAACACACGAATTGTAGACATTATGAAAGATTCATTATGCATATATTTATTGTGTTATAACCATAGACTGTATTAAAAAATGGACGTAGTGTCCGTGACGTCACCCGTAGGTTTCCGAAGAGCGTTTTTGAAGCTCAAAAGTGGGCGGATCCGGCCGTCGCCATCTTGGCAGGGCGTCACCGCGCGCCACTCCCGGATAATCGAAGATGGGCAAAGAGGCGGGAGCTGGCTGCTGAAACCACGCCCACCTAGCTCGACGGGGGTGGCAATCCACCTGTCACTCAAGTGGCCACACCCTTAATTATGCAGAACTTTAAGGCTTAATATAATTTAAACGGATGAGTTATAAAAAAACACAGTTGTCATGAAGAGCAAAATTAGCTATATAGACCAAAATCATATTTTGAACCAGGCTGTAAACATGTTTTTTTTCTGCTGTAAAGTTGGGCATTTTAACATGGGGGGGTCTATGGGATTGACTCCCTTTTGCAGCCAGCCTCTAGCGGCCAGTTTACGAATTACAGTATAAGTCACTTCCGTGTTGGCTTCACGAGAGAGACCGGGAGGTTGCTGCTTGAATCCGTAATCAGTAATTTGATTACATTTTCAGAGTAACTTGCCCAACACTGCCCATTTATCTCGAGATTACATTATGATGTACACATTCAATTACTAAAGTAGCAATGGTAAGTTGTCATGCATACTATTTGAAACTATTTTCATTAAACATCGTTATAAAGAAGTTACATGCATAATTGCATCGACGCGTAAAACCTTTTCCAGACTTTACGCCACAAACCTGGACTCCAGCTGCAGCCAGCAGCCATCGGACCGACTCCATCTTCCCTCTGCCATTGAAGTAATGCAACACAACTTTCTCGGACATTTTCACCCACTTCAAAACGCTGTCTTCCTGTAAAAGATAAAGTGTGCAGCAGGGAGTTTTATGTTTTCAGGTGTTGCGTAACTCGTGGGTGGTGCTCAAATCCAAATGCAGGTAGTGGGTTTGAGATGAAAAAAACTAAAGCAAGAAACAATGCTGATATCAATAATCCCCACTCGAGGTGTTGAATGACATAATTACACAGTTTCATGGATCAGCTTTAAACAGCTCAAGCTTTTCAGACGAGCTTCTGCTGAGTGAATGATGAAAAACAACAGGAAAATTAACCGTGTGCAGAGTCATTATAGACTAATTTAGATTAAAAATAGCCAAGTCATGACGACAGCCAGCTATGATATGAAATAAGTGTATCGCAAGCCGTTTTATTACTCTATGATCCAAGCGTCACTCTGACTAGTCAAGTAGGCTAATAATCGTGACTCGTCAAAATACAATCGTAAATATCAAGATTACGCAACATATATGTGCACAAAGTCTTTAATTTTAGAAACTAAATAATCTTGGTCCAGTTAATTAACTTTTTTTCCCCAATCGCTCACATTCAACATGTTACAGTAGCCAGGGGGTGAAGACAAGGGGGGAAAAATATATAAAATTACAATGAATTTTTTTTTTTTAAACATGGGAATGTTTATACATTAATACATTTAACAGCTTTTGTTTATCAGATTATGAATAGATTTGAGGTGTTGCTTAACTTAAAATTAGAAATAATGCTGTACTTGCATTTATCTTATGTCGGCTATATACTAAACTCTGCCAGCAAATTAATCAGATAATATTCCTTAATGACATGTCATAAGTGAAAATATATAACCTATATATATATTTTGAAAACAAAGTTGAATGCTAGGCATGATATTATGATGTCTGACAAACGAGCAGAAATCTGACCAAAAAACTGGTTGAATAAGGACAACTCAAAATCAAATGAAAAAAAAAAAAGATTCTGTATGTAGAGCACAAAATGTACAAAGTATCGCAGTTAAATCTGTCCACGCTTTGCAACCACAGACTGTATAAAAACATGGACGTAGTGTCCGTGACGTAAGGTTTCACAAACTTATTCTTGCCAATTTTGATTTATGGCTCCCTAAAGACCAGTTTAACGGTAAATAGCACCAATCTACACAGGAATGCTCATCGAATCTCTTTGGATTATCAAGAAGCACTTGACTGTTGGCGCTGCATGTCAGACTGGTCAGATCATCAGACAAGAGGAGATGATTTTATAGAATATCTTCAACCTGTGATGCAACAAGACAATGATTTTTTCAAAGGTTTCACAAACTTGTTCTTGCCACTATAACTTAAAGACAAGTTTAAGGGTAAAGAAATTAATACTAATACAAATGTAATGAATATCAAACATTTTAATTTTTAAACATAATTTTGTTATAGCACCAAGCCAGCCAGCAGCAGGCAATCAGATGATGCTACACACAGACTCTCCCAAAATAACACAGGGACAGAACAGCAAAAACTATACAGGGTCATAACAGAACTTATATGTCTCTATATGCATTTGAATAGTTACAATTTTTAAGATTTTAAAGAAACATTTATGACCATTTGCGATTTGTTATCACAAATGGTTTATATGTTTCTTTATTCATTCTAGGGTTGACATTGCACTGTCTGTTAATTTAAACTGAACATTTGCTATAAATCACCTTTGTGTACATAGTGCTATTTACTTATATTTATAAATATAATTACAGAAATATAAATATTTTATTCATTTTTATGTCTAAGTATATGTATATTCAGTTATAATATGTTTTGTGTAAAGTTATATATACACGTTCGAAAATGATAGGCCTGTATAACTCAAAACAAACATTCAATAACATAAATAGATGTTACAATTAATAATAGTACAATATGGATTATTAGCATTTACTTAATATGACATTTAATTGAACTTTATTAATTTACTCTAGCACAGTAGATATAAGTAAAGCAATGCTAAAAAAAAGGAATGTGTGGGTAAATCTGGACTTAAATCTGCTTTAAAAAATATTACATGTTTGAACACGGCTAGAATGTGTGCGTTGAGAAACACGTTCAAATTTGTCGTCTTAATGCGGTCAAACTGTGCTACACGTACCAAATAAACGCGGCAAAAACTGACGCCTTAACGCGGCCAAAATGTGCGTGTCTACACGTACAACAGAAACACGTTCAAAATTGCCGCGTTAACGCGGGCAAATTGTGCGTGTTGACACGGTCACATTTCACGCGTTCCGTTTAAAGACATTTGGCGCCATCCGCCTTCCATACAAAAGAAACGCGTTCAAAATTGCCGCGTTAACACGGGCAAATTGTGCGTGTTGACAAGGTCACATTTCACGTGTTCCGTTTAAAGACTTTTGGCGCAAACCGCCTTCCATACTTTTGTACGTGTAGACACGTGTCGAGGTCGTGGAATAAACCCTGCGTCGGCGCCACGGGGGTGGGTTTGAGGGGGCCCGGCCCGGCCACCTCGGTCACTGTGCCCCCTCACCTCTGGTGCCGTCTCCGTAGTGGGCGCCCTGATTTTAGTCGGTGAGGCAAGGTACT